TGTAACAAGAGGCATGATTTCTTCACTTATAAGAACCTTTTGAAAATGCATTCATTAACCATTAGTAATTAATAAGTTGGTTTTGATATTTCTAATGTAGAAGCACCCAAAGGTATTCATTAAGACTCTTGCACCAGTGCTAATTGCTGAACAGGTACCTCATAAAAGATACTGCTGTTTTTAGGAATATAACTTATTAACTACTTGCAGCCTTTTACTTATTCAAAACTTTTTTTTTCCAAATAGAGTTGTTACTTTGAAGCTTCTTCTACTAGAGAGGTATGAAGTTTGGCCTAATTTGCTGAGGTTATGTTAGTGAACAGTGAAGCTGAACAGAAATAATACTTTGATGGTGTATAAGTCTATATTTTTTTACCCAATCAGAATATTTTTCTCTCCTTTACAGCCATAAGCCCCGGCTCTACTGTTCTACGTGCCCTCATTAACCACTGAGGAGAAAATCAATACATCATAGCAACATTAATTGGTAGGGTTTTTTTAAACCAAATAGCTACCAGTTTTGACAAATGTATTTTACTCAGGTCCAGTTCCATTGGAAAAATAATATTTTAAGTACCGCAAATGCAGTGTTCTTGGTAGTGGTTTTGGAAGAGAGAAAAGAGTTGCAGTTCTGCAGCTGGATTTTCAGGAACATCCAGAATAAATTCTAAATTGTGAAGTATTTCTCATAAACCATATTGTTACTAAATTACACTGTGTATTAAATATATACAGTATAAGTATGAACTGACACTTATGGCAAAACTTCTTCATTATTTAAAAACTACATTTTCTCTTAGGGACAGATTTTTTGTTAATATAACTTCTCTTTTTTCTTCCTCCCTGCTCTTTTTCTTTTTTTCTTTTATTTCTTTTTCTTTTTTATTTTCCTTTTTTCTTTTTTCTTTTTTCTTTTTCTTTTGTTATTCTTTTTTCTTTTTGTACTTTTATTTTTTCTTATTTTTCTTTTTCTTTTCTTTTTTTCTTTTTTCCTACTTTTTTCTTCCTTTCTGGTTTTTCTTTTTTCTTTTCATTTATTTTTTCCTTGTTTCATTTTTTTTTCTTTTTCTTTCTTTTTCTTGTTTTTTTTGTTTGTTTGTTTGGGAGTTTTTTGGAGTTTGTTTGTTTGTTTTTCCCCTCCTTCTTTCCCTCCTTTTTTGCCTCTCCCTTTCTGGGCTGCTTCAGAGCCAGGGCAGAGCCCTTTGTGACATCAGAGCTTTCTCAGCCACCATCACCAGCCACCACCACCAGCGAGGTCACAGTGGCCACATGCGATGCATCACAAAGGGCTGCTCTAGGGAAAGGTGCCAGCACTTAAAACCCAGGAGTTTTTGGCAGATCAGGAAGACCAATGTGTTGGGGTTTTTTCATCTGTATTTCTTCTCTGTACATATTTTAGCAGTAAGTTAGAGGGATGAAACTACCAAAATAGATCTTAGCCTGAGCAGAACGGACCTCACAGAACGTATTTCTCCCTAGACAATCTTACATCTCCAGAGTGAATGCTAAATATTTTAAGCAGAAATTAATAATTTTTGTCACATTTCCAAACCTTTCTTTTCCTTGGAATCAGCACAGCAGTTCAGTTTACTATACTTTCTGCTTCACCCTCTGTGCCCTTTGTTTCAGGTCACACTTGAGGCATGGCTTAAATTTTTAATGAGTAGGAGTTAGTGTTGGATCTCAATAACATTGACTTCAGGATTAAGGCAGTAAGTAATAAAGAAATTAAATCACCTGTATTACACTCCAAAGTTAGTCTTCCTTGTATTGCTGAAAATATCTGAATGAATCAGAAACATTAAGGATTTAAGGAACCTGTATGGCGAGTGGAAAGAAAACTAATTTTATTTTTATGTAGCTCTTGGTGTTATTACAAGACTTGTTTATAGTATGAGTTAGGTATTTTTAAAACCTGGATATTATTTTAGCTTAAACATGGAGATTTAGATGTGGCAGAGAACCATTAAAGAGAAAAGAAAAGTTAATATTATTGCACATAAGATATGACTGCGGTGAAGATAAGAAAATTTTGTCATCTGGAAACCTGAACAGAAATGGCTCATTACAATGAAGCATTGTGGGGAAGAAGTTTCTTTAAAAGAAAAAGGTGAAGAAAGGAGATGACTGAATAGAAGGAAAGTAGATAGCAGAAGATTGCCAAAAACAGCAAGTCACAAAAACATGCTGGATTTACAGACAGTTTTGGAAATATTGCTCTGGTGTTACTGCCATCTGGACAGGAATTGTTCCACCTGCCAAGGGCCAGATCTGGAAGGGATTTTGTGTTACTTCTTCCCAGATTAATGGTGCTAGGGAAAAAAAAAGAGCTACAGGAAGTGAAAAATTACTCGGAGACTTTTTCCTGATTCCACAATCACCACGGAGTCAAAGGTGGTTTAGGTTGTTTTGAAACTTGTTTCTGCTTAATTTGCCATATCTCCCAGCCATGTGGAAAGGCCATATTTGCCATACTGGTTTCTTACAACTATTTGAAGAAACCTGGAAAACCACTGGGTGTTTGTTTATATATTTGCTAATCTGTTGTTTAATGACATTAATGAATATGGGGGGCATGTAAAACACAGTAAAAATACTTAAATAACTTAAAAACATGACATGAATAATTTTTTTCTTAAATTCCCCATGCAACTGGAATGAGGAGAACTTAATTAAGCTAAGTGTTGTCTCTATTAAAAATGAAATCCAGATCAAGACATTTATTACAGTAAGCACAATTAAAACTGCTACAGTTCAGCAAATTATAGAGGAATAAACACATTTTGATAAATTCACTTTCATGTTATGCAAAAAACATTTCTTCTTCTACACTGATGATTAAGCTTTTCTATAACAAAGGGCATTAAATAATACATTAGAATATACATTATAAAGTCCAATATTTTCCTTTGTAATTAAAGTTGAATGGTGTTCCTAATTTTTGGATAGAGCAAGTGTTTGCATTAAGAATGAACCCATGTGCAAAAACATGTAGGTGGTGAATCTGAGCATAAAAAAAGAGAAAAGCTTCATGTTGAACTCTTCTCAACCTTTCCTATGTTTTAAAGACTAAATTAAATGTTTGAATGCTTCCGTCTCAGTAAAGTGCGGAAGCATTTCCTTCTTTATTATATCTTTCTCACCAAAGACATTCTGTAAAAAGATGTAATTGTCAGAGCAAAGGTTCTGGCTTTACAGAAGCTTCATGACTGTCAACTATTTCCATCATTTCTGAATGCAATAGGAAAGAATAAAACAGGGCTTTCCCTTTTCTCCCACCTTCTGCTGTAAGAAAAGGAAGCATTTTCTTCCATGCCCAAGTCTGAGACCTTCCAAAGTTCTCCCCTTTTAAGAGGTAGAAAGGACGCCCACTGACTGAATAGGATTTGGCACAGGTATGTAGAGCTCCCCTTTCTCACAGATGCCCTTGAAGATATTTACACTTGACCTCCCTGAATTGTTGAAACCTAGTTTACTTGGCACTGTAAGGCAGTGCAGAAATTCACCAAAACATCTAATCTCTACAGGAAAGATTTCATGAAGAAGTTTAACCAAAATACACGCGTGGAGATTTTACCCCCATTTTTATTTTGATATGATTTATCATCAGGCAGGATTTTGTTCTCCCCTCCAGCTTCCAATGAGTTGATACAATTGTTTTTCTTTACTACCATGCAGTAACAAGCACAAGGATAAAATACAAAAGTCCTTTCACTGTTTAACTGACACCTCTATCATAACAAGCTACATGTAAATCAATAACTCTCCCCTGCAGTTCCAGTGAACAACTGGTCCATGGGGCTTTGACATGGTGGAAATTCTGGTACGGGGCCAAAGGTGCAACATTCTATTTCCTTCCAGCTGGCATGAACACATGTATTCAGTGTGGGTCAGTGTGGATAACTACACTGATTACTAGGAGAAGCAGCCACTCCTCAACTACAATCACCACCTACATATTATTTGCATATATTTTTTTGTTAGCATCCTATTGAAGCTAGTTCAAAGACGAATAATTCTTTTCAGACTTGATTTTTATTTTTTTTTCAACTGATTGCTTGGCCAGTCACAGATCATACACTTCAAAATCCTTTCAGATTAAAATGGTAGGGTAATACTCTCACATCTTGTATTGGTAGAGTACAAGTTAATGATGTTAAAATTAGCAATCTGATAAAAGCCAAGGATAAAAAAATCTGATAAAAGCTAGGTTTGCACACTTGCCTTGTATTGATTCTGTGCATACTTCTAATTATCTGTGCAGTCAATAAAATAAGACGTAAACTCTCTGTCAATCAATGGAACAAAATGTAATATACATTTAATTATTTTATTCTGCCAAAATTAATACACCAATTTTAATAATCCAAAAATGTCCCTCCTTAGAGCTAAAAAATACTGTCTAGATATATTTCTTTAAAAAATAAGTAACGACATCTGAACGTGTTTGTCTGCCATAGATGGTTTTTTTCCTGTAATTTTCTTCTTACTCTATATGGCAAACCATTAAAATAATAAAATCACTATTTGTTTTAAATGCCTTGCTGCATGGGAACTGCATATAGCAATAATTTCTGCAGAGATAAAAACACTAATTTAGTGTTACCAGCCTTCAGATTTCTGTAACAAGTGTAGTGCCACTAAAGACCTACTAAGACTGTGCCCTTCAGAGATGAATTCGAGCAGAAATTTTAAACATGTAGATGGGCACAAAAAGCTGTTTGGAGCATGGAGATGGTGAGAAATAACCTTGTCAGTCAGTCTAATGGTTTCTCGCTTAAATGACATAAATCTGCATTAAAACATACATGGTTTTTCCTAAGTGCCAGTAATCTGTCCAGGGGGAATTAAAGACTGAAAGAAAATGCTAAAAGGCAGGATGCTCTCACTGACTGGAAACTACTTTATTGCCATATGAACACCAATCGTTCGCTCAGGGCAGAATGTCTGGGGATTACAAGTGCTACTGATATTTGTCAAAATGTGTTTTCTCTTTTTACCTGTATCTTTACTCTGTCTCTGTCCAAAATAATGATCCTGTTGATCCCAGTGTTTTGCTGTGACGAAATGGTGCTTGGCAGGCATGAGGCTACTGGGGAAAGTAGCCAGAAGTGCTTTGATGAAGTCTGCTCCCAAATAGGGTATTACTGCAATTGCAAAGAGAGTCATGATTAGGACCCCTTTCTTTCCAAACATGTTTTTATGACAAAAAAGGGGCTTTCACAGCACTAATAAGATGGTAATATACCTCTTGGTGACCCCTACAGAGAGATGGGGGACTTTAATAGATGATCGTGATCTCTTGTACATCTTATTTCACTGCCACATTTTTTTCTTCCTTTGTGAATGTGAACAAGTGATTAAAAAAAAAAAAGCCACAAAAGATGTCACATGAGAGCATAAACTGCAGTGATCCTATTAGAAAGCTGCATACCTGCCAAAAAAGACAATCAGAAGCCAGAAAAACAGCTCTGATCACTGATGCCATTTAATAAATCTTCCTTTTACCTGTCTGAGGATTTACCTAAGACTTGAGTGTGGTTGAGCAGGACAGGCCAAGAGTAAAGGAAGACAACAATACAAAACTAGGATACAAAACCTTATACTTCTTTGTTTACACTTTTAGTCACATATGAATTCAGGGCTTTATTTCAGCTAATTTTTCTTTTTGAACAATAATTTTAAAAGATTTATAGCGTGGTAATAAATGTAGGCAGAATCACTGTTTTAGCAATATTTGTTTCTCAATGATTAAATGGTAAGATAGCAAAAAAAAAAGGTTTCTGCACCCTTGGAGTTTTAATAACGACAGGTAGAATTATCAAGCTAGAAAAATAGTAGGCCTTGGTACATCAAAAACAAAAGTTTGGTTTCTGAGTTGAAGTGAAATATGCCATTTAGTACAGTTAAACTGATACTTGAGACCTCAAAAAAATCATACATTTCACTTTTATTTTGAAAAACTTTTATTTAAACATATGTATTTAAAAGAAAAAGAAATGTATTAACTCAGATTACTCTAAATTTAGAAGCTAAAATATAGATGTGTTTATCGAAAACTGTGGCTCCTTCCATAACCAATAGAGAAAAGTAACTCATTCATTTGATCAAATTCTCAGGTTTAGAATTTGTTTTACTACAGACTCAACTAGGTTCAGATGTTTACAATACAGACATATGTAGCTGGTCAAATTGATCCTGTTCTATGGGTATTTCTATACCAATAAATAACATAGGTAGAGAAGGAGCAATTTTGGCATTCAGTCACTTTTCATCCATGTTCCATCATGCTGTACTGTTGGTCTTATGCCAGAATACAGACCTGACCCTGGTTTATTTAGCAGCATATAGTCTACAAAACCATTTAGAGTGTTGAAGTGTTTGATTTCAAAAATAGATATGCAAAATAGTGAATACACAGATGGTAAGATGATAGAGATAGGAAAGAATAGAACTAGTTGACATTTTGGTTAAACAGGTATTTTCTTTGGTTGCTTGCCCAAAAATATTGAATTGTCTCAATAGCATTACTAGTAGCGTGTCTTAGTTTAACAAGATTACAACTGAGAAATTAAAAAACTTCAGGTGGAAGTGTGGAAAAGTAAAAGAAACAGCTTTTTATTGACAAAATCTGAATAAACAACAAATGGTGCAATCAAAAACTTTCAGAAGAAACAAAACAAAGTGCCAATTCCCCAGGCGAAGAGGGAGGAAACCCGAGGCAACTTGGGGAGGAGCGGGGGGAAAGGCAGGACTGTCCCGGATATTCAAAAGCTGCATGCAGCCATGTGGGCTTGCAGGAGCATTGCGAAAGTCTTGAAAGCAGAATATACCTCGCTCTGAGATGGCTCAGTCTCGCTCTCTCAGTTGTCCTCAGTGAGGTGTCCCATGGGAAAAAAAAAAAAAAAAAAAAAAACAACACCACCTTCCTCTTAGGAAAAGAAAAGGAGGCGGCCAAAAAGCCGGGCTCCCGGTCTGTCCAGTTCACGGACTACCCCCAAAAAGCCCCCGAACAAAGGACTCCCAGCCCTCCCCACAGCCACCGCGCTTCCCCACGAGCCCTCCTTCTCTTCCCACCCCGTGCTACCCCGCATGTGCGGCGCTACTCCACTCCCACCCGCTCCATCACTCCCCCGTCCAGGAAGAAACAGATGGCGGGGGTGGGGGGAGAGGAACGCGGGCGGGGGAGGGGCCGTAGGGAAGAAAAAGGAAACTCCAACATCTCTTTTCAAACCTATGACATAGTGGCACACAAAGTGGTAAACCTTAAGGAGAAGGAGCCAGCTATAACTGCTGAAAAAAAGACAAGGTATTTTACAGCTTTGTCACAGAACATGAGAACAGAGGATGGTAATCAACAACTGCTGAACACAAGATGTCATTTTCAAGGAAACGAGAAAAAGTTGACACGGTTATAAAGTATAACACCACACAGAAACTCCATTTCCTTCAAATTGTCAGCAGTCATCTATGTGTTTCCATATTACTAATGAATTGCTGACCTTCTGCTGAGGCAGCTTGCCATGGTTACAGCGAGAATCACAAGATAAAGATCCCAGGTTTATCGTAAATTTGAGCGAAGACACAGGACCGTGCTTGCACTGTAACAAGCTTAATTTTGTGAGGAGGTGCGTAATCTGATTGGATTTGCATAACAGAAAGTAGAAAGCAGGAATGCAATGAAGCATTTTAGCAGGACTAGCTGATAATGATTCTAGAAGTAACATCAGGAGGGATTTAGAGCCTTCATGCTAACAGTGCAATTTCTCATCAGGAATGCAGTGCATAGCTCCAGGGGACAATATTCTTCCAGGTCAATCTCCTCCATCAAGCAGGTCGGCTCTTGTTGTAAGAACATCTTTAAAAAAAAAAAATATAAACCAAAACAAACAAAAACCAAAGCAAACCCAAAGAACAAAAAAATCACCACCCTTGTAGGAAAAATCCTTCCTTTAAATTTAAAAACGGCGAAAATACCTGCAGGACAAAGGAAAATGTAGCAGGAAGTTCTTTATTGCAGCGCGCTAGGTGCACTTCCAAGTCACATGGACCTAAAGGCACACCAACCGTTTGAAAACCACACCTTTTGTATTCTCCCAGTTACATAAGCTGTTACATATTCAGTGATCCCTGTTTTTTTACCTTAAAAGGTAATTTCTTGGACTCAGGAGGGGTGTTACCTTCCCTCTTGATTGATTTGGGACATACCCCCCAGCCTTTGTACAGGGATGTCTCTCCGTACGCAATGGATGACCATGTAGCAGAAGGTATATTTTTATTTTTACACTTTTCCCTATTCCCAGCCACAAAAGTTCCCTGGCGTCAGGCCCAGACAGGACCCTCCGCCTTACAGCTTTCACGATACACCTACAAAAACCCCTTGCAACTAAAAGAAAAAAAAAACCTCCACCCCCTTCTGTTTTTCCACTAAATTCATTTGCTTATAATAAAACCAAGTCATTTATTTCTCACACCCCCAACAACAACTGGTGAAAAACAACAACAACAACAGGTAAACTCATGCAGACTGAAATTCAAGAAAAGAACAAATAATACACAGAGAAAAATAGAAAATTCAAAAAAGTGGATTAACTTCAGAGTTGGTGCAGGTACAAATATCTGTCTGAAGATGGCCATGCTATAAGCAATGAGTTTTTAACATGTGCATATTTGGCAACTACCTATATAACTGAATGTCTCACTTTTATTTAAGCATTTATTTTTAAACAAGCCAATTTCAATATTTGAAGTCTCAGTGCTGTGAGCTCTGATTGTTTCCCTTGTAGCTGTTGGCACCTGCTGACTTCAGAATTGAATGTACTGTAAAGGGAATGGAAGTGTCAAACGTGCTAAAATTATGTTAAGCAAAAAGGAAAAGTTTTTTTTAAGGGAAATGAGACATGCATAGTTTTCAAGGATCATGTGCAGCCCAGGAAGATAACTGCTATTTCTGGGTTAACTTTGTAATAAGCTGACATTTCTGAAGTTTAGAAATTATAAGTTGTTAGTTAACACTTATGAGCCAAGATAAAAAGAAGAGAAGATTAAATACAGATTAAGAGAAGATTAAATTCAGGCTAGAGGCTTCTATAGGGGAAGAGGGAAGCATATATACATTTATTTACACAAATAAATATACTGTATAAACTAAAAGCAACTATATATATATATACATATATATATATTACACTTCTATCAGTCTCTTCAAAGCTTCTCCTTTTAATTTTAGTCCAGGAAAAGCCTTTCAAGGCTGATAGGTAACCAGTCTCTCTCTCGTGGGAGTGTTCGGGGACCCAAACCCTTCGGCCTCACCAAGCTCCAGCTGTTTGTGGAAGTCCTTCCTTCCTCCCAAAGTCCAAGAATGTAGCTCCGAGTCCTTTCTCCTTGGTCCTGTGTCATTTCTGCTGTGTGATCTCTCTCTCATACCTCGGTTCACTGCTGCTGTAGTGTAGCTTATCACAGTAGGCATTTGGAATCTTCATTCTTCCAAGTCAGTTTTCGGTTGCTCCCAGTCAAACCTCAGCAGGGCAACTCCTGAGCCCTTTGGCCCATCTCCAATTTCACCTGGGATTCTTTTCCCTAGCGCCGAGCTGCTTCGTTATCAGCCGGTCCACTTGGCTCTGCTTCAAATGCTGAGCCTTGCACCACTCCCACTAAACAGTGAGAGGGAAAAACAGCCCCTTCTGCAGCCTGGCTGCAAAGGGGGGGAAAGAAGAAGAGGACCTGGCCGCAAGGCCTGCCTCTCTCTCTCTCGCTTACCAGTTGTTTGTGAGTCGTGTCCCTCACAAATACTCACTCACTCCAATGCTGTCTCTAACTCTGGCCTAGGCAGAGTTGGGGGGCTGCAGGGCTCCCCTCTTCCCCCCCCCGGAGGGGGGAAAGAAGGAGCCCAGCCACCCCCTGGCTTTCTACACCCACACACAGCAGACACCAACAGAAACTGCCAGCAGCTTCTGGTACTGTGTATATATGACTTTTAGCAGAAGCGAACAAGACAAGTGGTGACTGGCTCTCCAGGGAACACTGCCCTGGCACCCAATCACCCCTGACTCTCGGGGGGGCCAATCTTAACCCATGACACAGATGTAAAAAATTTAAGTAGCCAGCTCAGTTAAGG